ACATTACGTATTTGAAACAAAAGTGTCAACAAAGGATCAACTTTCTACGATCAATTTCCGGGACATGGTGGGGTGCTCACCCGGAAGACCTCATTAAACTATATAAAACGACTATTCTTTCAGTTCTTGAGTATGGCTCTTTTTGCTTCCACTCGGCAAGAAAAAGCCACCTAATCAAATTGGAACGTATTCAATATCGTTGTTTACGTATTGCCCTTGGCTGTATGCATTCCAGTGATGGAAAAGTTCGCAAAAAATCACTACGACTCGCGAACTTTTCCCTTGGAGAACTTCGTTAAATATCGCAAACTTTTCCAACACTGATGCATTCAACACACAATATGAGCCTAGAGGTCCTAGCGGGCGTAAAACCCCTGCAGAACCGTTTCTGGGAGCTCTCATTAAGAATATTGATTAAATGTAGTGTCAGTAACAACCTTGTGATTGAAAACTTCGAAAAAAAATGCTTGAATTGAGCATCCAGTCTAGATTCGTGCGAATCTATCTTAATTATATGTCATCGGATATTAGCCTTTCTTGCTATAACCCCTCTCGTGTATGCTTTACTAACTACAGTTCCCCCATTGACTACGATCTCTCCATGAAACAGGCTATTCAAGGAGTTCCAGATCAACTTCGACCTATCTCAATTCCCCACATTTTTGCTGAAAAGTACCAACAAGTCAATTGCAATAGAAGATTTTTCACTGATGGATCCACTGGCTTCGGCGTCTTCAATGAATACTCAACCGCCTTTCGGAAACTTCAGGAACCTTGTTCCGTTTATGTTGCTGAGCTAGCAGCAATTAACTTCGCATTGGGGATGATTTCCGATATGCCCATAGACCATTACTTCATCTTCTCGGATAGTCTCAGTTCGATTGAGGCTATTCGGTCGATGAAACAAGGTAGGCACTCATCTTATTTCCTTTCAAAGGTAAGGGAGCAGATGAGTTTGCTGGTCGAAAGATCATATATGATTACCTTTGTATGGGTCCCCTCACATTGCTCAATCCCAGGCAATGAGAAGGCAGACTCTCTCGCAGATCGGCGAGATTTATGATAGAAGAATTTCACATGATGAATTTTTCCCATTAGTACGTCAGAGTTCTCTTTTAAGTTGGCAAAACGATTGGACAAATAATTCTCTTTGGCGGTGGTTACATTCCATTATTCCAAATGTTTCTTCGAGAGCGTGGTTCAAAGGTCTGTATGTAAGTCGGGGATTCATTCGAGTGATGTCAAGACTTATGTCCAACCACTACTCGCTAGACGCACATCTCTATACAATAAACCTCGTTGACAGCAATATATGTAGGTGCAGAACCGGTTTTGATGACATCGATCACGCAGTTTGGTATTGCCCGGGTAATGACGCCTCCAGAGCACGGCTATTGGATACCCTAGTGGCCCGAGGTAGACAACCCTTCCGTGAAGTAAGAGATGTATTGGGAACACGTGATCTTCCCTACATGCAAGCGATCTACGAATTCCTTTGTTTGCCTGATGTTAGAGTTTGATGTGACTATCCCCTCCTTTCCAAACAATTTCCCGCCATTGTGTCCCAGTCTTATTATCCTCCTGTTCCTGTGCTACTTGCCCCTGCCCAGTCAGGATTTGGTCAACCGTCCGAGAGTAGTATCTGAAGGAGGCTTCAGAAACCAGTTTCCTACCTAGATCCTTCCAATTGAAATTGTTACCCATTAACCTCGAGCCCGCCACGAGTAATTGGTACCCAATACTAACCTAGAAATACTGCTATTTAAAATGTAAATCAAACATTACTGATTTTGGCTCCGCAAAGTGTCACACACGACTGAGCCTAGTAAATAAACGAACTAGTTAAAAAAAAAACAGGGCTGTTACAAGATTTTCTAAATTTGATCCGCGAAATCCGCGATTTCACAAAAGAAATCCGCGACTTCAAATACTAATCCGCGACAAAAAAAAACTGTTTTCATTGCTTAAAAATAGCATTTGTATACTACTACATGGCATTTCAAGCTAATTGCTTATAGCATATTCGATTTTTGCCTTAGTGTTCTTTGAAGTACTTTCACATTTTAATTGAGAGCTTTCTATGCCTGTACCATCCTATGCCCAAGGAAGTAGAGAAAAATTCCAACCCGAAAAATTAAAAGACCGGACGGGAATAGGACTCAGTCGCCTCCAGCATGGACTTGCTTTGTAGCTGCGCCTTTACCGACTGAGCTAAAGGAGAATCGTTTGTAACCTTTGAATTTAAAATAAAAGAATAACATTGTATCATCTTCAGTTATTTATGTATAGTTTAAATTCTGAGTTATTAGTGAACATAATAAAACACCCTTACATTATGAGATTTTATTGAATAATACCGGCCTAGATTTGATGAAACATTATTAAAAAAATAATGCATTTTCATTTGAAATGCAATTATTTTTTTGAAAATTAACCTTTGCGTCTCTGACGTATTTTGCTGTCCTAAATGTTGTATTTAATTTGGCTCTAGTTTTCTCAATTTTTTGCTGATTCAAACCAAACACCCTGCACATAATCGAGAAATTACCAGAGTTTCATAAGTCACACTTGTTGGTCACGTCGCGGTTCTGTATTTACATTCCTTGGGGTCTGTCCAATGTTGAGACATTTTCATGATATTTTTTATTTCGTATATGAACCTTTTCGATGTCAAATCATAACCGAATCGTATATATGTGACTTTTAGGATCATGCACGACTTATTACTATGTATACAGGAAATTATATGTTTTCCAAATCGTCCTGGACATCAGTTGATTTGTTCTACTAGATCAACCAAGACTGCAATAATGTCTGTAGTATCGAAAAATGTCCAATCGATTCAAAGTGTATATGTGGATCATTTAATGATCGATTTCCGAGTAATCCAGATGTTGCAGGTTCGTCAAATCGTCCTGGAGTTCAGACAATTTGATCTACTAGATCAACCGAGATTGGGACAATGTCTTTAGTATCGAAATATTTCCAGACAGATGCACAGTGTCTATTTGGATCATGCATGAACTATTGCTATGTATACCAGGTGTTATAAGATCTCTAAATCATTCTGTCTAAATCAACCATGACTGGGATAAAGTCTGTAGTATCGAAATATGTGCAAACAGATTCATAGTGTCTATATGGATAATGTTTAATTATTTCCACGTATACCAGACGATCTAGGTTCTCCAAATCGTCCTGCAGTTCAGATGATTTGTTTTACTAGATCAACAAAGACTTGTATAATATCTGTAGTATCGACATATCGATTTGTAAATCTTAGAACATGGTTGGTTGGTTGGTTGTCTTTATTAAGGAGATTTTCAGCCAGACGCTGGTTCATTTCCGGTCTTAGAACATTTGGCATACACGGAAATAGATTGACATGATCCACATAGACATTGCAAATTTGTTTGGGCATATTTCGATACTACAGATATTGAATTGGTGTTGGGTGATGTAGTAGAAAAATAATCTGATCTCCAGAATGATTTCAGTACCTGTAACATCTTGTATACGTAGCAATAGGTCAGGCACGATCCACATTGAACACTTTGAATCTGTTTGGACATATTTCGATACTACAGACATTATTGCAGTCTTGGTTGATATAGTAGAACAAATCAACTGAACTCCTGGACGATTTGAAGAACCTAGAATATCCGGTATACATGGCAATTATTCGCATGTATACGATTCGTTTATGATTTGACAACGAAAAGTGCTATGTTCATATTGGAAATAAAATTAAAAAAAAAACATGAAAATGTCTCACGTTGGACAGATCTCAGGGAATTTTCCGTGTAAATCCGGTGTGACTTATGGAATTGAGATCATTTCTCGATTATCTGCATGGTGTATGCTTTGAACCGGTAAAAAATAGAGAGCCAAATGAACAACACAATTGATGACAGCAAAATAATCCGGGACGGAAAGGTTACAATTCCACAATTTTTGTGACAGCACATCAGTTCCTTCGCGATTTTCACATCATTTAATGTTTCCGCGATTTTCGCGACTGAAAGTTCAAATCCGCGACAAATCCGCGAAAATAGCGAAATCCGTGAAATTCGCGAAATCCGCGTCTGTTGTAACAGCCCTGCATTTACATTTTTTGTTGGGGTTTAATTTTAATTTCAATGATGATGCATGAAGACAATGTTATAAACTTACAATTCGGTGTACAAACTCATATAAATATTCACAGGATCGCATATACCAACAATCGTTAGGGTGACTTTCTTGCCCCTAGTTCCCCTACCTAGGGGAATTTACGTATTCTCGTCAATCTAAGCTGCGGCTGCGCTTCTATTAGCATGTTTCTTTGTTCTGTTTGCTTATCTATGAATTCCAATCGACAGAACTGTCAAAAGCTGTTTGAAAACGTGTTTACAACGCTCCAAACTTCTCAGGTGACTATGATTATTGTCGGCAGTCCATTTTTTTCGGTAGCCTTTCCATTTGGACTGCGCGTTAACCAACTGTTCTATTTTCGGCAACATTTTGTACTGCACATATTTATTTTAAATAAAAATATGGCATAACGGGATTGCTCAGTGTTAATACGCAGCTGTTTTGATAAGAAAATGCAGTGAAATTAACATTTAAATTTTGGTTACCGAAAACAGTCAATGGGTGCCGACACCGACATTTACCGTACCTACTTTTAAAAATAATTAGAAAAAATAATTTGTTCAAAGAAAACCATCCATTATTGTTTTTCAATGATTATTTACTTTGAGGTACGTTCAATTTTATTCCATACAAGTTGTTTCTGATACCTTAAAAAATAATCTGAAAAAAAAACAATTTTCCTAAGAAAACCACCCATTTTTGCTTTTCGATCGTGCTGATCAGAATATTGCTATTACCTGCAATATGCGGTATTTATTGACGATAAAACAATAACTATTATTATGATGACCATCTTACCCTCACTTCCCCTAGTCCTGTTTTACATCATCTATTTCAAATTTTCAACCTTATAACATATAACTTACCTTTCCAAGACGTAATATAAAATCACCCAAGCCCTCCAGCAATCTATAATGTATTGATTGCATAAATGTTTATCATAATGTGAATCCAATTGATTGTTGAGAATTTTATGAATCGTTTGAACCATACGTGGGATGAATTCAAAAGTCACTGAAATTGAAAGAAATGATAGAAAATAAATCGTAATCACTGAATGAAAAACCTAATGGAAATTAAAGTTACACACGTCCATATACAGCAAACATTAGCAATTTAGTCATATTTTAAAATAGATGTTCCTACTCCTGCCTATGCTGGCAATTGATTCCACCCCTGACCTAAAAATGTCCTAAGTAGTAGTGGAAGTTAACGAGACATGAATAATTATGGAGGAATCACATCGTTGAGCGCAATCTCGCATCTTAACAAGTATCTAAATGCTGATCGATACGACTTCACTTCAGTATTGCTGTTTCCAGTACTCACGGAAAATATGGCTGCACGTGCTCAAACGGACGTCATACATGCTGACTTGTCAGCAGCCTTCGATAAGGTAAACCACGCCATTGTCATTGCCAAACTTGGGTTGGCGGGAACCTCCTGCGATGGTTTCACTCATATCTCTGATGGCCGGTCCGATATTTACCAAATATAGTACAAGGTAGACATCATATCCAATAAGTGGTTGCGTAACTGGTACGAGGGTTTCATGATTTCCAAAGTCAACGGAATCTTCATATGTATGTGCACTAGACTGATGCAAAATTTGACTTTTTCGCTCCACAGTGCTTAATTGGTTTCAAATAGGGTCCTGATTAGCATCCAAAAGTTACAACTCATTTGGTTAGAAACAGACTTCGTACAAACCATTTGAAGTTTACATGTAAATTACTATGGGAAATCTCAATTTTTTGTTCATTGCCTTCTAGTCTTTTTCCATATTGAGCTGCGAAACAGTTCTATAGCCATTCTTATAGAAAATTTTCTCAGCTACAACTTTGCTGAGAATCATTTCTATGTAAAACGAGACAGCAAAAAGTTATTAATTATTTAAGAGATTGGTAAACTTATGACATGATCAAGCAGCTGCTCTGTAGGCAACACTGTATTTTGCAGTGTTACATAGTAGCCATGATTTTTGTGTCCTATTCAACGCCCCAGAAACACCAATGTTGCCTGCTGAGCAGTTGATTGAGCATGATCATAAGACATCAGCGCATTGAACCATTGATAACTTTCGATCCTTTCATTTAATCAAAAAGTGGTCTTCGACAAAGTTGTAGCTGGAAAAATGTCCTACAAGTACAGTTGAAAGTTTTTGAAGCAGATCGATATGGTGAATTATTAGATAGACATGAACAAAAATCTTGGTTTTACCATAGTAATTCCCATACAAACTTCAAATGGTTTGTGCCATCTCAGTTTCTCACCAAATGGGTTCAAATTTTGAGAGGTTAGTCAGGATCCGATTTGGAATCGTTTAAGTATTCTGGAGCGAAAATTTCAATTGTTGCATCACTTTCTGCACTAAAAACACCTAAAAAAAAGTAAAATTCTGGCCTTGACATGGTTCACAAAAGTTTTGTATTTTGATTGTCACAATACTGCATTGAAAAATAGCAAATAGTGTACGAGATATAGCCATGCAAAACCAAAGCGCGAGCAAAAATAATGATGAAGGCATAAATCAAAATTTCTAAATAAATTCTCAAAACCCAAATAGGGTTTTGCTAGTTTGGGTGAGTAGTTGCAGAAACTGAAGTCCGAATTGTATTTACCTTTGAAGACCTCGAAAATGTTGCACAGTGTTAGTGAATACACTGGCGAACTTGTCGGAAAAAGGCGGCATATATCCTGAACGGTGGCAGCAACTTCTCCGTTGAAGGTGGGACGATGGGAGGCATGGACTCCCTGCGTTTTTCGGGTGTAGCGTAAGTTTGCGCTGGATGCCTCGTTGGAAACTTGAAAAGCATTTACGACTGACTCGCTGGTACATGTGATTCAACCTCACATAATGTTGTTTCAGAGGAAGCGTGCGATACTTCGTAAACCTTTTCAATGCTGCTCACTTGATTGACTTCAATCTACGTAGCTCTCTCGTTTGACAGGGAGGGTGAGAAACTTTGTGGTGAGTTCTTTTCGGGACGTGTATGTCAATGACATATGCCAAGACATGTGAAAGGTTCGCGCTGCAACCTCAACGTCATCTGGATCAAGGGTGTTCTCCCATACCATGCTAGACAATACATCTATAATGCTAAGGTGGTCGGCTTTACGGAATTCATAAGAAACCGTCGAAATCACGCACGAGTTTGTCCTCAACAGTGACAAGTTTGGAAAAGTGTTGCTGCGCTGTAGTTGTCAATAAGGCTAATAGCTCCTGCGTGAAATGTTGAGCTATCAGGATCTGGATACAGGAATCCGCTATGAGATGGGCTCCACAAAACGCCTGGCAGATTGAAGTCACCCAAAATAAATATCTCATCAACTGGAGTGGCACTTTCTATAACTGTGAAAAATGACCGACAGTGAGTATCGATGAGTTCATTGTCCCGGACTCGATCAGGTGGAATGTACAGACCGCATAGAAATAGTGTGCGATCACCCAGATTGATGGCTGTCCAAACCTGCTCCACAGGTCCAGGACGACTATGCTGAGCACTGAAATCGGCATGACTGGCCTGGAGGAACCAGGAGCTTCCAAAGAGCGATCCTGGAGATGAATTAGGATTGTTCGAACAGTAAAGCGTATGTTGTGACTGAACAGTATCATAAGTGCTTCTCAACTGGAAACAGCCGGAAGATGCTTGAAGCGTTACACTGGAGCACGGAAGCTGATCAGGAAAATTACTGTAACTATACATTATTGCCTGAATACGATGGTTGGGAGACCCCACCTCCGAACTCGACCGCAGGTCCAGAACGACGCTGATGGCAGAAAATAGAACGACTTTGATGGCGGGAAACAGCGCGACTGGATCGAGTGGCATTTGATGCATAAGATCGCCGGAACCCAAGTGTGTTGGAGTTGTCAATGCGATTCGTTTCGACGGCTGAGCATTATGATGTCCTTGCCTAGGGATTTCCTTCCTAAACTTAGCGTGTGCGATTTCCTGTCTCTCAGTCATAGAATTAATCGCACTACCAAACGACGAAACAGTAGTTTTGAACCGAGCACATTTCATTGCACTCGTTGCACATCCAAAACAAGTTCGGGCTAGTGTGAACAATATTTAGAAAAGCCTAGTTCAAGTTTGTGCCACCGCATTTCAGGTGAAAAATCCTATCACAAATAGGAGACGGATTCTTCATCGCCTTTAACTGGTTTAGCGCATTGGTCACAGGCGGAAGTCATGCTGACTCAGTTTCCAAAACTAATTTAGAAACAGCGGTGGATATGCTCTAATACGCAAGAAGGAGTTGGCTTCTGCAGAGCGTCTGATATCGACAATAACACAACAGTAAACACTACAAGATCCGATTAGATAACTTTTCCACTGTTTTCACGAAATATGCTCCACATAGACTATTATCGCAACGAACTGAACTTTCCACTTCATGCTAACTTGAAAGTACCAATTAATGGAAAAAAGACCCATTATGAAGAAAAGTGGCTTAACTCATTGATGAGTAAATTTTTTACCCATTAATTATTATCTGTTACCAATTAATGAGTTTTTATTACCCCATTAATGAGTAACAGTAACTTATTAATGGGTAGCAGAAACTCATTAATGGGTAAAAAATTTACTCATCAATGAGTTAAGCCACTTTTCTTCAAAATGGGTATTTTTACACATTAATGAGTACTTTCAAGTTACCGTGTAACAAACGGTACAATTTTGCAAGTCTACAGAACGGGAAAAACAAAACGATAGCCCGTGTGATTAAAAAAACATCAAATTTAACAGCGCAAAATCACGACGATGTGAATGACAACAACAACCAAAATATTAACGACCAAACCTTTGGGTTGGTTTTCCAACTTATACATTTATTTTTCGTTACAGCAATTTAACTAATGCGTCCATTGATTAGAACTTGTTTAGTATATCTCTATTTGATTTACGCATCGTGCAAGCCGACCACTATTGAGTTGGTGATCAGCTGGTTGCCTCGACACGTTCCAATCAGGTATGATGTTGTTTATGAAACCAATCACCTTTTCAGGATTAACTTACACAATAGTAGCCCGGAGACTAACTAGCGTCTGACTGAAAGTCTCCCTAAAATAAGATAACCAACCATCCAAACAACCTAATACTATAGTTTTCACCAAAACAGATCGCTCGAATGTTCTTTATTCAAGCTGATGCACGATTAAATGGAAGCGAAACAGGCGCGAAAAAAGTTTCGATTTTGCCGATTACCCGAATAAAAATTTACCGTACAAAAACCTAGTGTTACAATGAACCATACCATACAAAAACCTATTGTAGCAACAATAAATGTTATTGTCAAAAACAATAAAAATACAATTAGTGTTCACTCCGCTGTCAACAGAAGCAGACCGCTCTCGATGTGTGTCACGCGATCGTCTGTTTACTCGTCAGCAACCATTGTGTGGTCCTCCACATTGTTCTTCATCGGCAGTTTTTCGGTCATGCGTCGTCGACTTTGGAAAGCAGCCGTTTAGTGATGATGAGTGTGTGAGTGCTGACCACGTTTTGCGTCCATTGCTACAATGGAAGCGCTACTGCCATTCAATGAAACCACTAGAAGCGGAACCCGTTCTGTTGGAGGAGGCTAACCATAATTATTATGGAAACCGAGATGGTTTGTCAAATCACCGTGGTAGAGGCAATTTCCAATTCACAAAACAATTATTATGACAACAGGTCCAATTTCAACTACCAACGAGGTAGGGGACCGCAAAGAGGTGGTTATCGTGGTAACAACCAAGCATTTATTATACCAATGCTGAAAGCGGGCAACCCTTATTACCATCACAGTTACAGAAAGTACAGAATGTACCGACTGTAAATCATCAACCACAACCTCAACAACAACAACATCAACAAAACAATTTAGGCCAACCGCGCAATTATACACAATAAATGCTTCAGCATCAAATTTTGTAAAGACACATGTCGAAATGACAAGTTCGATTTGTCCTTTTATGATCTACTCTGGAGCAGACATAGGGTTAACTACCCCATTACCCCACTATT